CCCCAGCAACCAAAGCATCATTTATTTATGAATTGCTGATCTACCCAACATTTCTAAAAGGAAGACAAAGGAAAACCATATGACTTAAAAAGAACCATAAAGCTGAAAAGTACATGACATCTATCAATATCAGCAACCATACCAACAAGCCATGATGTCTCAATTATTTTTGCTAGCTGTGTAGATAATATGTCTACTTAAATCATAAGCATTAAGCATTCAAACCTTTTTTTATTGTTCCTGGTAAATCTTGCTGAGGTCTCCTACAACCTCCTCCCCTTCCCATTAATCCTAGTTGACCCATCTCAGCTAACCACAACATATGATCACCTCAAGTAAATCAACAAACCTGAAACAACAAAAGAGAATTCCAATGATCTAAAATCCACAGTTGATTCTACCCAATACTTAATAACCAAATTTAATAGCAAATGTTGACATAAATGATAAGATCATCAACTTTCAGTGATCATCCACAGTGTTTGATCCCTCATCTTTGTTGCTGAATGAATAGTTGATGGTTTTTTTCGCTTGGGTCTTTGCAAAGATTTCACCTCTTATAGCTCAATCCTGGCATGCACGTCAAGAATAAGATTGAAGAACAAGTGTACCAAAATGGGTGCCACAACCTCACCTTTATACATATTTAGAAACTAATGTCACTGAAAGGAAAAGAATTCCAGAGTAGACAACAATGTCTTATCATCAAAATTTTCACACTAGAAAAGAAAGGAACATCTTAACAATTGATTATGAGGATAAACTAGAAAATTGACAACAGATAACATATTATTTATCAAAAATCTCTGCGTAATCTCCTCCAGCTGTTGGCACCTTGTCGCCTCAAGTACAACGTCTTCTGCAGCTATCATAGTGGCATCTACTCCATAAGAACAAGCTATTCATCTAATTTAGGAGTGAGCATTTTACTCTTGTTAGTGTCATAATTAGATTTAGGTGAGACCACATTACCAAACCTGGTAATGTGGTCTCACCTAAATAGATAATTAACACATCTATTCTCCTTACTGGAAGCTGAGATTGAGACACTATTAATTCCATAGTTCACAAAATCAAGACAACAAAACACATGAAAGCCGGACTTTCTGACACTCTTTAACTAGTAATAATGTAACTATATACAGAGAACTACTAAAATTTGAAAAGGTGGGCCTGGAAAAACAGCAGAGGACCTATAACCGACACCTTGTATCAAAGAAAACAATAAGAAAAGAAATTTGTCGGAGCAGAAATTACAAGTGGTTTTGATTGGTATGGACCAAGCCAATCCTTGAACGACAAAACCTTCCTGCATCCTTGATACTGGATTTATGCCCTTTGACATCTAACAAGTTGTAAATTTGGAAGAGAGTATATCTGCCAAAAGAATAGTCAGGAATAGAACTAATCGTCAGAAATAACTTCACAAGTAATAAGAAATATACAAGTCAGTGCACATGAGTTTATGCCTGCATGATCATACTATCCAAAAGTTTATATTATTGGGTATCCAACCTTCCTATAAATGAGAAAAAAATGAATATCTCTGCTTTTTTATAATGTTCGACTAAGTACATATGACTCAAAAGCCTTCTGCGTTAGACAGATCATAGTGCAGATATGAACATGTCAAAAAAAACAAAAAACAGTTACCCATTTCCAAATCCATTGCCCAAAGTATACCAAACTAGATATGAAAAGTGCTTTTTACATATACCGAACTAGATATGAGAAGTGATTTTTACATAGACGATAATAGAAAAAGTTTTGGTCAGGAAATAATGTGAATGAGCTCTTTATTTGCTTCAATGGCTACCAAATAGGTCCCACGGTTCTCAACATACGAATGCTTGTTAGCCATGGGCTCAGATGGCTATGTGACCATTGGACCTCCTAACAGCACATGTATGATGTTGGCAAGTCTAGTCAACCACCCAAGCAGAGAAGCCCAATGATTAAGCAGTCTTTCCAATGGTTAGCACAATGGCTCATTAATTAAATGAAGTATAAAGAATTTAAAACAAACTGGCAGGCATTTAAGAGCACATGTATGAAATATGCAAAACTTGTATTTATGCTCATTGTCGCATCATAATACAACAGCCAATCCAAATCGAGTCAATTTGAGCTACATGCATGATCCAAAAGTCCACATATTACAGCTATACTTGGCTTCATGAAGTTGTTGAACAGAAACCAATGCAAGCTGTGAAGGGCCTTGATCCCTTTCTATGCTGAATTAAAAGTAAAAAAGATAGGCAAGACATTAAGCACCTCAATGAGCATAGGTAATTGTGGATGTTTCAAAAGATTCTGCCCTAGCAAGCCCTAATAAAAGTCCAACTTCATTCATAACAAAAACTTTACAGAACTCCAAAGAGATGTATTTCAAGTAGAAATCTGGTAAAAGAGTCCTGTTCATCAGTATAGGTGCATTCCAGAATTCAATTTATGCGTAAAGTTCATTTTAGCTCTCTGATAGGACCCTAAACTAATATGGTAGCTCATGCCTAATGTTCATCAGAATTCACCTCTGCCAATGTCCACTTATTCTACTTAGAGGTACCTAGAATATCAGGGAACTACTGACTAACAATCTTACTATCACTAATGCAATCGGCCACTTTGTAACTTGTGGTCGACCAATTCTTGTCTCCTACTAAAGGCCTTAATCATCTTAATTATCTAACAAGCAGCTCACAGCATCAGTACCAAAAAATTAACCAACTGATCACATTATGCATTAGCCCACTTCTCACTGCTAAAAGCACATGAGTTCAGCTAATTGAGATGTAATTAATCACCCTTCTCTTAAGTTCAACTCCTTTGTGCTTCCCTTTTGTTTTCGTGGTGATCCAATTTATTCATCTTCCCTGGATTGCCCCAGCTCGAATTACTTCAACTGGTCCAAATTATAGATATAGCCAGTTGAGTTCACCTTTGAGTGAACCACCGCCAAGCTTGGAGCATTCATTTCCAACAAGAAACCATAGACTTTTTAAATAAGATTTTCCCTGGAGTTCATGTACATAAAAAATCTTACATGAAAAATGCAGTCACCACCTTACTAGGGTTTGAACTTAATCAACTTGATCTACCTAATACCAGGAGATGTGAAGCCTGAGCCTATCAGCTGTGAACAATCTGTGAATATTTCAACTGTGCCACAAATTGTAGATTCTAATTGCAATATATTTATTGGACATGTTTAATAGATTAACGATTGTTTTACCCTCTCAGATAAGTGTATGTCTATTCAAACACGAAAAATAAGGATCCAAAAATCCTCAATGCAGATATCATGAGAAACATGAAGCAAATATCAGAATTATCTGAACTAAAAAGCAAATTATTCTCGTAACTATACAAGACTAATCCGTACCTGGGATCGCCTCGGGGCTCGACGCGGAAATCCGGCGAAGGATCGCCCTCGTCAGGCCGGACAGATTGGAGACGAACCCGGCGAAATACACCACCGCCAAGAGGCCGATCACCCAGGGCAGCAGTAGGAACCCGATCAGGAACGTCATGGACCCGCACAACATCATGGCCACCGACGCGCCGAGGAGGAACGAGGCGAACCCCGCCGGCGTCACCTGCTCGCGCATCGGCGGGGCGGTGCGGGGGGAGCGAAAGGCAGCGAGGACGAGGGCGCAGAGATCGTCGAGGAGTTGGTCATCCCGGGGCATGGTCGGATGGAGACCTCGAATCCTCGCACTGATCTTGAAGAGCAGAGCACAGCAGAGACGGAGAGGGGGGAGGAATGGAAAGCGCAGGAAATTTAACAAACAGGTAGCGGGGTCGGCGGCGGGGACGGAGGCAAACGGATAGGCTCGGTGAAGTGGAAGTCTGTCCCTTGGGAGTCGGGTCGGTTTCACACACGCCAATAGTATGTGTCCACGTGGCAACTCACCGAGCCGATGGACCGCAATTAGAAAGTCCTTTTCGCTGGACCCCACCACATCGGATATATATATATATATATATATATATTCTCTAAATAATTCAAAGTTTATTGTCTTTTTTAGTTTGGTATAATTATTTTTTTATCATTATTTTCTTCTTCTTATTATTAACTTTCTTCCTTTCTTTTTTTTCTCTTATATTTGGGGTGTATAAAAAGGCCTATTGTAATTAAATGATATTAGAAAGTAGATAAATGAATTAAGGTTTTTCCATATTATTTTCCATTATTCATTCTAGCTAGTTATCCTACATGCTTATTATTAATAGTTAAGCTCTTTATTGATGAGTATGAAAAATGGATCGTTGAATCTTTGTATCACTCTTAACCGGTGAGACAAGTTGATGTTCTTGTTATTGAATTTGTAGGAGAAGATTTGGAAGCAAATGGTTTTGATATATGATCATTAAATCAATATTTTATGAATTATATCAAAAATATATATAATATAAATATAAATAATATAAATTAGTATATGAAGTATAAAAGATAAGCGATGAAGACGGGATTCGAGCATGATAAACTATCAACATATTGATATCGCCTACTATATGCATATTTATCAAGTATCATTTAGATACCATATCTTTAATCATTAATGTTTGTTTTATAGCCAGAGCGTAACTCATAAACACAAGATTAGGATTATATACAAATACAAATGTCCAAGATTCAAAATATATCTATATACTTTGATGGAAAATCAAATATAACTCGTAACCATTAACATGATAGTGAACTGAAATATTCCATTTATTCAAATGCCTACAGATAAAAACTATCACACAAATGTAAAATATGAGTATTTCAATAATTACTTCACCCATTAAACAATACGAGCAAACGGCTACTTCGTTTCAATATTTATCCGAATTTTAAGTTTTTTGAAGCTAAATATGTTTACTAGAATTTATTCGTTTTACGGTGGATTATCAGAATTATTTTAAAAACTTAAAGAATTATAAGTTCTTCTTCATGTATTATTATATTTTTATTTTTATTTTATTATTAAGGATAAGTGATGAAAATCGAATTTAATCCTACGATTTCTACCAACCAAGCAAACTGACTTCTTTTAATTCCATCTCTCAATCACAATGCAAAAGTATCTATGGATCCTAATAGTGAAGTCGGATGAACACCCTTACCTTATAGTGGTCAACACTCTTTCATTATACTCCATTTCAAGCAAGCACATGACTTATGGTAATTGGAATAAGAGATTAATCGGGTGATATTAAATGGGATCCGAATCAAACTTAATCGAATCAAAACTTGGCTCGAGGACAACTCCTTACAGATAATCCTACATTCTTTTGCTTTATTTTCAAATGTAATTATGGAAAGCAGAGCCACAATAGTATTCAAGTATCTCTCTCTACATACGTATAGTGTTACCTTAAAAGTTCACTATTTTTTTAGAGTCAGGCAGTCAATTCTTTTTCTTTTATTCAAAAGTATTATGATCAATATGAATACAAACAAAATAAGACTACTGGATTTCAATTCGCTAAAATACTATCTTTTCTAACTTTATTATGCTTTATTGGATTATTCTTATCACGAAAAGCCTTATGGACCAGGCAATGAGTGGGGTCCCTGACCACCTAGGCCAACCTGACAAGCCACGTCACCGACAAAAACAGCCACGCGTGAGGCATCAATTTTGGATAGGATTCGTGTGTCAGTGGAGCCATCACATCCACTCGAATATAATATTGTATACCTGCCTACCGTTTACACGTACATATCACTGTGTACATAATATTCTGTACAGTGACACGATGCCTGACGTGGAATAGCTCGAGAGAGAGTGAGAGAGCGAGTCGGTCTTATCTATCCACGGAATACAAAGATGTGTTCGCTATGGCTGGAGGCATGCATGACATGACGCCACTTTGGATCTACTTTAGCCGTCAAATGTAAAGCGGGTTTGGGTGGCGATCTCCACGAGGAACGCATCGCGACCACCATGTGAGTCCAATCATTTGATCTCGTTGGACACACGTCACCGTCTGTTAGATATCACGTCGCCTCATATTTAATTCAATAGTATGAATATTAACTTTACCAAATTTCTCAAAAATCACCACCTTTTAGTTATTACCAACTAAAATTAACTTTGCCAGCACCCAACTCATATATATATATATATATATATATATATATGAACAAATCAGTGCAGAAATAAGCGCTTCCACGCTGCCACGAAAAGTCTAGAAGCCAACTAGTCGAGTTGTCACGTTGAATCGCTTCCGAGGAAGGCTGCCAAGTCAACCCGTCATTCGAGGAGTCATGTTGGGAGGATGTCAAGTATGCATATCTTTTGTCAGGTAGGAAAAGAAGGCATGAATGACATCAAAATCATAAAGATAGATATTTTTCATAAAGACAAGTGACGAAACAAATTTAAAATGTAGGATCAATCTTGCTTTCATCTACGTCTAATAAAAATTCCGTCACAAACCCTTTCTCGTCCTATGAGTCACCGACTCAGTTCTGTCGGCATATTAAATTAAACTTTATTCATCATAAATTTAATTAAATAAAAAAAACCTCATCTTGGTTGAAGGCAAACTCTTAATTTGATTCATCTAGGATAATGATATGATTATTATGATCCAACTTATTATTATATACTATGAAAAGAAAAGCAGTTATAGGAACAGTTGACGATGTCAGGTGGTAACAAGGAGAAGAAGAAGACGACACCTGAGTTATGCATTATTGTTTACTGCCCCCATACCTCACGTGATTTTTGTACTAGGCACGTGTCACTGCAGAATCGGGCAAACAATTAGTTATGCCAACTTAACAACACACAGAGGCCGTAAAAAGACAAGGTACCGTTTACACCAGGCATCGGGAGCCGAAAAGATAGCGCAGGCCACAGCGTTCACGGCACGCGTGCAACCTGCGGCAGCCGCCTGTCACCGCGCCCCATGCTACGTGTCCACGCCCCCAAGCGCTGCTCGTGACGGTGGCCGCACCCACGCTCTCTCCCCTTCCGCCGCACTGTCGTTGCTGCCGTCACTGCGGCGCTCCGCCTCGGTAATGCTCGTCGTCGTGGTGCCGACTACCTGATGAAAAGAGGAACAGAGCATGGAAGGAAGATGAGGAGGAGGAACAGAGCATGCACGGGATGAAGGAAGATGAGCGACGTTGGATGCTCGATCAACGACAAAGGTGCAGGAATTCATCTCCGTGGGTGCACGCAGGTCTTCTGTTAAGGTATGATCTCATGCAACCATGGTTGGTAATGCAAAACGAACAGGAGGACATCTACACCCTGCAGCTATCGTGCCCTTTCATGTGTTTCTTAGATGAATCTAATGGCTGAAACCTCATAAAAGTCCTAACTTGAGAGGCCAAGAAATCTTCTTGAGATGGCAAATTGATATAGTCGAGAACAATTAAGAACGAAACTGTGTCTAGGTGCATGGAAGCAAGTCTTTTCTTGGATTTAGGAGCATGCTGCTACAATGAAATTATCACGAGGAATTTAGGTTTGGAATCAGGATGGGAGATTCGATAGACTTTTCTTACCTATTTCTGCCTTCTCTCAGTCAAAAGGTAGATAATAGTATCGAGCAACCAAGAATCAAGTGGTCTTTGGAAGGTCTCAGTGGGCATGACTCGGAAGTCGCGAACTGAATCTTTATTGGCAACAACTAGGGGAGCAAATCATATCCAATCAATTATGCTATTTGTATTGCAGAACAATAAACGTGAGCAGATCAAATCAAGTAGCAAGTATCCCGTAGGAAATCATAGAAGAAAGATGTGTACCTCCTTTTCCGGCCTGTTTAGTGAGCCCGTCATTAATTGTTTCTGCAAGAATATAAGTTCACGAGTCAATCAGTAAGTCTCCCTTGCCAATAAGATCAAATTCTCTCGCAAAATTAATCATGGCTACAAAGTAAACAGTTTGAATGTCTTCGGTCATAGCAACCCCCCAAAGTAATCCGTCAATTTCAAATAGTCGGCCTGTGTGCTTGTATCCAAACAAACACCTTAGATTGATACGAGGGGAAAAGGGTTCCTCTTGGCTTGTCCCGGTTTGCGTTCTTGCAACCATAATAATGTGAGAATGCAGAAATATATGACAGTAGGAAAGACAGAAAACAGCCCTGCCTAAATATTGTCGAGATAGCTACAGAAATTTTATCTAAAAGCCTAATGACTTTTGTGAATTCTGTTGGTTTTTGTGAATTTTAGCAACTGTTTTTTTTTAACAAATTGTTGGTGAAGCTTTTCTTTATTTTTTCCTGGCACTCAGAACCATGTAACGGTTATTCTACAGCCAATATGGTTACCGATTTCACTTTGCATGCGCATGGTAAATGTGATGATAAAACTCGAGTTGGGAAGTCACTCCTAACCTTTCTTGATGTTGCCCATTTTAGTGCAGAACATAAGTCTTCCTCCAATTTTCCAAGTTCTTCAGCATTCATCTCTGCCAAATTTGTTTCGACAAGTCTGCAAACAGAGCAGGAAATTTTAGCAAAACCTTCCACTGGGACTCTCTCTTTGTTATAGATATGGTAGAAGTCACATTATAACCTTTTCCCGATCTCCAGAACTTTGGAATTAGCTTCTAGAAGAGCAAATTCTTCATCACGATTCTGTGATTATAATGAAAGAAGTTACTTTCATAGATATTTAAAATGAATCACTAACAAGTCCCAATAATTTTTTTGATGTGAATGAAAAAGTCATTCCACATTTGCAGAGACAGGCAAGCAATAATATCATCTGTAGCTCAAATTTCCAGAGTCCTTTCCTTGTTTATACGATATTGTTATTTTGTAGGGAAAAATAGAAAAATCAGATTGTAGTAATCAAATGTAAAGTGATATCTATTTGGATCTTATAATGTTTTCTAGCTAGATATCTATCTGAATGCTCCTTCTGTTTGTGATGGTAAATTTTATTATATTCACATGTCAAACAACAAGATTAAATAATAACACGAACTGAATAATTATATTAAAAATGTCTTTTATTCATCTAAATTTCTTTCATCATCCTGATTAGTTGTAGTTGATTGCATTCTTGAATTATTATGATTATGACATAAAGAGCATTATCAAAATTTTCAGAAGAAAAGAAGAGATGATGTTAGCCTTGTGTATAATTTTCTCAAGCATATATGCACACTTTTGTACAAATATTTCATGATATGTCAGCCTCCTTTGTTATTCTAAACAGTAATTCATGATTCCAAACAATGACTACTTCAGAAATTCTATTGTGCTTTCTAGGCATTTAATGAAGCAAATGCTGAACATTCATGTGATGGATTAACAATTGTTCAGTGCATCATATGCTCATGATTACTATTTCAACTTAGGAGTCTACCTAGTAATGTTTGCTACCACAATGCGGAAAAAGAAATAACATCTCAGTTCTTTTCAAAATTAATGATCAAGATCATGGATTAATATGTAACACACAGCATCTGCCAGTTACATGTTATTGGCCGGTATAGTGCTTACCAGGCCTACCTTGCTACTGCAGGTGCATGATAATCTGGTGAGTGATGATACTAACTTGCATGGATGCAGCATAGAAAAGCACTGGCACACATTGTGTTATGTCAAAATTTCACTAGCATGACAAAAACCTCGATTCATATTATGTAGTCAGTGTTTTCACGGTTTGTGAATAGGGTTGGGGTCAGCCTGACCTGATCTGGACCTGATAATTTAGGATGACCTGTCATTCTGGGTCAAGCTGATGCTATAGCTCAATCAGATTCTAGCTGACCCAACTTGATGTTCTTTTTTCTTTTTTTGGTTTAAAAACAACAGTAAACACGTCTTACACATCAATCTGATCCAACCTGTTTCAAACACACCAGACGGGTTTTTTTGGGTCAGGTGCAGTTGAAGAAAACTCAAACCATTCAGGTCATTTCAGCTTAGCATAGCACTTACAATCCCATCTTAAACCAAGGTTTTTAATTTCGAATAATACGACTCGTATCAGGCGGTACATACTAGTCCGTCAACAGTATACACGGACCGTCCGCTACCGGACGGTAGCATCGATCGATGATGGAGAAGAAAGAAGAAAACATGAAGATCCGACGCGGTGACCAAGCCTCAGTGACGTCACGAGAGAAGCGATTTCTTCTCCCCAACAGAAGAAACCGAACGAGGCGATGCCTTTTTTGTTTTTGCACGGGGAACCCAGGCGAGTCTCCTCAACGACGTCTTACGCAAGGAAATCAAGAATTCTCGTCGTCATCGTTGTTCATATATATATATATATATATATATATATCGTTCGGTATATCGAAATGTATCGTTTGGTATACTTGTACCGTACCGTACCAAGCTAAGCTTGAAACTCCGATATGATACAAAATTATAAACCTTGTCTTGAACTGAGCCAACCCAACCTGCCCTGACCCAACCCTTTCCCATTACTACTACATAAGCTATCGAAAGATAGTCGTATCTCCTAATTATGATTGTGATCAGGACTTTTAGAAGGATTGTAATCATGATTGAAGTGATCCATTTAAGTCTCCATATCAGTATTTCTAATTCACATAAAACTTTCCTTGTGAAGTTGTGCTTTAGTCAAAGCATGACAAAACTTTTTGCAATATGTATGAGAATCAAAAATGTAGAAAAGGTGTTACCTGTGCATTATCATCAAGCTTGCGAACAACATTTTCTGCATTCGTAAATGTCTGGTACCGATCTAGTGTACTCTCCAGGCTGAATTAGATATAAATGGTCAGTCTGAAATCGTACTGCCCACACAAAGAGCAGGAAAATCAAACAACAATTTACATGCTACAATTTATCAATATGGCTGCCATCTTCTCTAGCTCTATAGTACTGAACTATTAACTTTAGTCAGTTAGTAACTTGATGGTAGATGTCATAGGCTTTGATAGACTTTGACAAAGCAGCTGCTTTTGCCTCGTACAATTTGAGTTCTGACACTTGGAATACAACACAGGTCCTAGCAAGGTTTTCAATACTAATAAAATATTAGTAACTAGAAATTTACTTATACCATTAGTTATACCAATATCAAAAAAAATATTTAATTCCTTAAGTCTATACAGTAACTAGAAATTTCCACTTCCAAGTTGCTAATCTTACCAGGTTTATAGAATTGGAGTGGGTCCTTAAGGGAAGCCCTCCAAAGCAAGATAGCTTAATTGTAACTTGTATGCGGCACTAAAATTCTTTTCATCCTTCAAATTCAAAGAAGCACTTAATTAGCCATTCTATTCTCCTATGTTAATCATCATAAACATGTTTCAACCCCCATTCTTAACAGACTACTATGTTTACTATAATTATTGAAGTATGATAGACTATGTTGTCAAGTTTGCTCTCAAAAGGATAATTCTGCCATTCCTTTGCTCCAACTTGTTTCTAACATATATTTGGAGTTATCTTATTTTTCAAGATGACTAGAGAAATTTTTCTTCAAATACATAGTTTTTCATTTTGTACTTTCAAGTTGGGGCCCTCATTTGTGGTCTACCATCTGATCTACGGTTTGTAAATTTGGTTTCTGTAGAGGCAAAGAATTGTTGCTTGGTATTGCTATAATTGGTTCATATAATTTCATGTAATTTAGCATAATACTCTAAAAATACTTTGCCCTCCACAGTATGATCAGTGTATGAAATCAACTAACATACTCATCCAAGGTGCAGTCACCACCTTGATTGAGCATATGTTATTAGTTGGCCTTTTATGAAGTTTGCAATAGCGTCATCAAAGCTCTTTCTAAAATGAGTAAAGCATAAAGTAGACTAGAAGATTTGGCAGCCTTTCCACATGCTTGGCTGGTAGAACTTTGAACTTGCTCTAAAGTCCTCAAGTTTCTATCACATCTTACCAAGTTAGAATAATGCAAGTTGGTTATGTTTCATTAAGACACAGCCGCTGCCAAGTAAAATATCACCCTTTCTATGTTTGAATAGAAACCAAATATAATAAGCCAAAAAAGAAAGACTAGTCTCTTATCTAATCTTATGAGGCAAAAAAGATAGACTAATCTCTTATCTGATGTCAGTGATCAACAATGTTGGTCTTTCATTGTACCTACAAGATTATCTAGGAAAAGAAGAAATGGTAAGGACAGTTTGTAATTCACTTGCCTCGGGCAATCCGTACACAGCCTTGCTATTTGGTTTGTAGGAAGAAAAAGTAAATTGGTGATCCATTTGTATTGATAGTGTTAATCAATCCTGATTACATATTTCCTACCTTCTGTGGTGCAGCCACTACTACTAAAACTCTCTATCATGAATCAATATGACACATAGTCGTTTTGATTCCCTCTTTTCCAAATAGCCGGAAACTTCTCATTTAAATGTTGGAAATTTATCAAGGCTCATATCTTATTAGGCTCATCTAGCAATTCATCATTAAAACTTCTCCCATTATTCATGCAATTAACACAGGCAAACCATAGAACTCCTTAAATTCTACTCATATCTCCATTTTTAGCTTGATGATATTATAGCACTTAACTTTTATTAGGGTGTTCTAGTACTCATTCAGATCCTATTATTCTTCTTGCAATTAAATGCAAGCAAAGAGTAGGGCTCTTGAAAGTTCATTTTATTGATATTTCGAGCATTACTTTAATTTTCTTTCATTTTGCATTTTTAACTCATAGTGATACAATAGGGCTTACAGTTTTTAGGGTTTCTAGGAATGATTAGGATTCTATAGTAATTTTCCTTGGTACATAGATACTAGTTAGATCCTCGATTGATGCATTTAGCTAGAGGACCCTTACCATGTTTACTTGAGAAAGGGCAATTACACAATGTGCCAGGCAATTAAAGATTATCTTTGTTGTCTACCATCAACAATACTAATGGGTTTAATCTTCGATTTTAGTACCTTAATTATACTGGTTAATTACCTTAATTATACTGGTTAATTACCTCCATATATGTCGTCTGGAGTACATAATTACCATGTTCATTAATGACCATCTTTTCATTAATGATTTCTTCTGATTCAAAATAGCCTCATCATGTTTTTGTTTTTTTTAGTACCCAAATACTATTGAGGTTTCTAAAGTCATCCTCACAATAAAGCAAAATTGTTTCATCTAACAAACAAACTTTGCTGTGGTAAGTATCTAATTAGTCTTTTAAGTTCCTGTAGATATCATTGACAATGCTGTTTTGAGAAGTAGGATGCTGTAGGTCAAATGTAGTGTTGACTACTTTTTTGAGGGAAGTGGTTGTGCCAATTCTAGAGGGGGATTAACATCTGCCTAGGTGCCTAGGTTTACAACCATACACTAAATGAAAAATGTAGGACAGACCACAAGTATCAGGCTGCTCTCTTACTCTAGCTACCTCATGGTATCATGAGGGAGAATTGAGATCGATCTAGAAGAAAAAAGTCAGGCTAGATCAAACTAGCTTAAATCTTATTTCAAGTAATGTTTCATTTTATTATTATTCAATCATGTCCAAAGATGATGACACGTAATAGTAGTTGACTAGTTATAATAGAAATTTATGGATGCATCTATATGTGTTTAATTTATGTGATTTATGTGACATGATAGATCACATGAATACTACTAATTTGCCATGGCTTGGTTAGTCTCATGTTGACTAACAGAGGAACTCATTGTGATGACAATGACATTGGATTCCAAAAGATCCTACTTCCTTTGTTAAGTATTACATTGGATCCCAAAAAATGAATTGGAATGAGTAGTATATCGAGATAACCCTTTGATATAGCAAGAATTGGCATGCCAATTGATCATTTTTTATGCTAACATCGATGACAACAAGTGATTGGGTGACTACAGTAACCCATTAGGCACCATAACTTGCAGACATAGTGGCTATTTACTCCAAATTACTAGAATTTTAGTACATAATGGCAAAGCAAGCAACCATAGTAGGACAATAATATGGGATAAAGATTTTTGTTAGAGGTTAAATCATAAATGATTTAAGATAACTACATAACTCTGGAAAAGAGTGGTTGAAACTTGAAAGTAAAGTAAGATGTGAAATAAATATTTCAAAAGATCAATATGGTTCTATCTCTATAAGATCAACAATAGAAAATATAGAGAGAACAAAAGTTTACATGGCTTTTATGGATCTAAACAAATATAATCATAAAGTCTTTATCTTTTTTTACATTAGTAATGGATAAGATAGGCCATCGTATGATTTATTTGTTGATAACATTAATTTAGTTGCTAAGAGTTCAAATGGAATTAATTTTATTTTAAAGCTCTGTTATAGACATATATAAACAACTGAGAGTTTTCATTTAGTACAAACAAGACTGAATATATTAGATATTATTATAGTAATTGTACAAGAAGAAATTGGACGGTCAAAAATTAGTTGGTAAGAGTTCAAATGAAATTAATTTTAAAGTTGTGTTATCGAGACATATATTATCAACTAAGTGTTTTAATTTAGTATGAATGGGATTGAATACATCCACTATTATTATAATAATTGTATGAGAAGAACTTATGGTATTGTTAAATTAGAAGAATAAAAAATAATATTGTCAAAAGATGCTAGGGCACTTAAGGCGAGCCAGGGCCCAAGCACCTCTAAGGGCTTCGAGAAAAAGGATTTGATATAGACATCATGAACCTTGGGCATTTAGGCATTTGCTTAAAGATGCTAGGGCACTCATAGGCACTCAAGGTGAGCCAAGGCCCAAGTGCCTCTTAAGAAGGGCTTTGAGAAAGGTGACTTGACATGGGCATCACCTCGATGAGCCTTGGGCATTTAGGCACTTGCTTGGGCTAGCCAATTGCTTGGGTTAGCCAAGACACCATTCGCTATGATGCAAATTTGAAATCGATATTTGCACATGTTTGGGATCAGCTAGATTGGCACACTAGCTATCTAGATGTGTGTTCGTAATCTGATTTCGTGTTTGTGCCTAAGTTTAATGCCTACATCCCGAGCTTTTTGAATACCACGTGGCTTGATCCACCCAAAGTCTTTAGGCCCTTTACGATTTACGATCTAGTTTAAACTAACCCTAAGCCTAAGGCCACTAACACCACAAGTTTGTGGCCCCTTACAACTTGGTTCATACTAGCCTTGAGCTTTAGGACCTCAATCACATTTCTTAATTTTGACTCTGTAAATTTTACAGCTCAAGCAATTTTTTACTTAAAAAGAGTGAGGACCTCAATCACATTTCTTAATTTTGATTGTGAAAGCTTTGTAGCTCAAGCAATTTTTTACTTAAAAAAAGTGTCTAATGTCTTGTGCAATTTGAGAAGGTGCCACCTTTTAATGCCTATCTTTTTTTATGCAACAATGACAAAAAAATATTCTAATAAAAAATTATAAAATATTAGATTTATTATCTAATAAGATGAAGAAATTGTTTATAGGACTAAAGAAACAAACAAAGAGGAACGTTAGAAATTCTATGATCATTGGATGTTTTAAGATTAAGAGGAAGAGTGTCCTTACAGGAATAAATATTATAACTGTAAAGGTGTGACAATTAGTATCACTGATGCAAGAAATAGTGAAAGTCTTAAGAAGATTACCTAAGTTAAGGAGATTAACTTATATAGGACTTAATGGAGGAAAAAAATTTAATTAATAATTCCTAAATAGGAGGGATATTAGGACTTGCTGTTAATAATCATCATCAATTACATGATCAAGAAAAGTAAAGGAATATTTATAAATAATGATCATGAGATTATATTAGCCGCT